GAGTAATCTAACAGGAAGCATCACGCTTTTCTCTTCACTCATTCCAAATCTTGTTCCCTTGAGATCCGGTCCTTGGGTGAATTTTTACGAGCTCCTCTAAACAATGGTTTAGGTCCCAAAATAGAGCAAACCCAAGTTCTGCTCACCCTATGTAGAAAAGAAGGAACAAATAGGCTTTTGTTAGCCTTTGCTGGGTTAAGACACGAGTACATCCTTTAGCCCCTTCCAATTCCTAAGTCTGGCTCAGGGCCTTCAAGAAAGCAGTGGTTGGCCCCAAGGTCAGGAGGGTGTGAAATGGTTGGGGTACTGTGTTATGATCAAGCAGTGGGCCAGTGGATAGAGCTGCTGGAAATCTAGGTTTATCTGCTCCAGGGAAGGGTGGGCAGCAGCTTGGGTCCAGATGCCTAGGATTGCCTCCTTCTAGAATTGCCAGGGGAGACTGAGGCATGGGTCCAGCATGTCAGACCTCATCACAACATCTGCCTTAGTGCTCAGGAGGCCTCCAAGTAGAGGACTGGGCATCCGGATGTATGGCAAGCAGGTGGTAGGTAGACATCAAACACAGGGCCTGGGCATCTGTCTGTGGGTGGGTGGTGGGGGGAGCTGTATTGTAGGGGCCTAGATTATGGGCAAAAATTGGATAGAACAAATTTTCCATAGGATAGAGACCTCTGGGTCTTTGAGGGATATGCCCGCCTAAGTCTTAGGAGGGCAGATGTTATGGAACAATTTTTTACCAGGAAAGTCTTGGGAAATCCTTTCCATAATTCCCACTCCACCCAAGAGATATGGGCTGCTGAGGGCCTGTGGCAACCACAGTGGGCCATGCAGGGTGGACAAGATGTAGATCTTGTTACATAGGAATTGTGCTATAGATGGACCAAAGTGGCAGATCAAGGGTTGAATTCTCACTAACGGGGTCACTGACACTTTGTAGTCCTGTGTTTTCCTTACTGCCCAAGAAGAGTGTATGGCTCCTGGGTCCTGTGCCAGTCACGGCAGCTTGTGTGGGCAGTTTGCCTGCAGGGAGGGAAGTGGATCCCTGGGCACTGTGAAGCCAAACTAGGGTGGGATTGACGGAGATGTGTTGTATGTCATTAGGTATCTGTCATGTATTGTGTCTCCTAGAGGTATTGTGTGTGATGCCGCGGAGGTCGTGGCCCTGTACTGGAGGGATGGCGGGGAGGGGGGAGGTGCTGGGGAGGCAGCCTCTGACTTGTTTGCTTAGCATCAGTGGTAAGGAATGTGAGTGTTTGCTGGGGTTGTTGTCAAATAGTTATCAGAGAACAGCCAGGATTGATAGGGGATTTATTTTGACAGAATCTGATGGAGGCCAAAAAGCTGATATGAGGATAGGATGCCTCTGCTCTTTGTGAGAGCAGGGTGGAGCCATGGAGCCACGCTGACCAGGAAATTGTTAGGGGAAGGTCTTCTGGCTGGAGGACATCAGGCTCCTTGTATGGTTCCCTATGAAGGGCTCTGCCTTGGAGGATATATGCCCTACCCAACAGAATGGAAAGGCTGAAATCAAGGCTAGCAAGTGCCCGTGTCCTTCAAGTCCCAAAGTTTGGAAATATTTCCCTGAAGATAAATGTGAGTTTTTGATTCTTCAGGAACTGGGCTGGCTGGTCATGGTAATGAGAAACCCTGAGGCCAGGCAGAGGCCAATCATGGGAGAGGTTTCCTTCCAGATTAATTTCAAGGAATACCATGCCATCTGAAGTGTGTTTGGGATCTGGGCTCCATACCCAGCTTCAGGCTACAGCAGTCCTTGAATACTCATTTTCAATGGCAGACTCATGAGACCATTTCAGGCCAAGAATCTTATCAAAAGTTCCCTTGACATAGATGACATCTAACTAAGAAAGAAGCTGCCTTAAAACTAACAGTCCTGGGAGAGGAACTGTGGGCCCTGCCCTAGGGCTGTGGAGATTTAGCCACTCAGCTGAGCAGCTCTATCTTTGGGTCCCCCTGCCAAAATCTGGCCCAGGGAACAAAGGAATACTCAGCTCCTTTTTTAATGCCAATGGCTGTGGGAGAGGGTAAGGCTCAAGGCCAGGGCTCAGCTCCCAGCCTTCATCTCCTCACACAGATGATGCGTTTGCAGGAGGCCTGTTTAATGTCCTTGCTGTCCCCAGGGCAGTACTACGGCCAGACCAAAGCCTGCTGTGCTGCTTGCTAGCTGCAAGAACCAGTCACAAGGATTGGAGTTGGGGGAGGGATTCAGGGGAGATGGCAGGGTGGCACACAAGTCTTGAGAAGTTTGGGATGAAGGGGCAGGGCTAGGGACAAACTGGTTCACTTTGATTGCCACTCACCATGGTGCTTTCCCCCTTTCCCTTGAATTCTGCTTTGAAAAGAATAAATTTATATTTGTTTACTTCAGTTCCTCTGGCTATGCTCTTTGTCTCTAGTGTTCCATATCCTTCCCTTATTTGGGTGTGGGAGGAGAAGGTGGGCCATGAAGCCACAGGGGCACTCCACAATAGAGGCTACCAATAGAGAGGGCATCCAACACCCACTGGGTAAAATAGGCACCCCTGCTAACCCAGTCCTCCCCTTTTACCTGGACTGGTTGCCTCTCAAGGCCCCACACAAATTAGCCAGTTAGTCCTCATGGGATGAGCTGCCTCCAGCCATGCTTCTTAAATACCATCCTCATCAATCTGAGGACTTTTTTCACCACCAGCCTGGAGCAGTATGAGAAAAGTCAGGACAATGTAGTGAGTTTCCATAAGGTTACATTTATTCAATGGAAAGATCTATCCCTCGTTCTGAAATTATGCTATATATTTGGTGGGAGGGTATTAAAATGTCCCTGTGAATTGGTGATCATTTTATTTTTAAAATGCCATTCTCTGGCAAAATGGAACCCTTGTGAGTCCCTCTTCTTCACCACCGACAAAAGATTTCTTTTCTTACCACCAATCTATAGAAAATCTTCACCATCAAGAAAAGATTTATTTTCTTACCAATCTATAAGAGTGCTGTCCAATAGAAATATAACATGATCCACATATGCAATCTTAATTTTCTAGCAGTCATATTTAAAAAGTAAAGAGAGTTGAAATTTATTTTAATAGTATATTTTATTTAAGCCAATATATCCAAAATTGTTTCAACATGTAATTAGTATGAAACAATTATTAATAAATATTTTTTATATTAAATATCTATATACACACACATACATATTTTCTACTGCAAGATCAGCAATAGTATGAGGAACGTGCATCCCTTGTCCCACAGGACAACACTGAAACAAAAGGGGCCAAATGACATGGGACACGCTGTTGCTGAGTAGCCAATTCCAAACTGCAGCTGAGCAGTTTTGCAGCCCACAGCTGTACCTTTTTGGTAGGAGGCAGGCAGGAAGTCCATGCCTCACCGGAATGAGGGAGGCAGATGGGAAACTGCCTCCCTCAAGATAGGGATGTGAGTGAGAAGTAGTCTTGTAACAACTCCTCACGAGACTGCCTATCTTCCCATGGTCTGGGAGGATCACAGGGGGTGTTCTGCCAAGGCCCAGACAGCTTGCAGTTGAGCCTTGTCTATGTCACTAGTGCAAAGTCATCTGTCAGTGCACCGGCACAGAGTCCCCCCACAGAAACCTGATGTATATTTGGCACTTAGCACACATCTTAGTTTGTGCAAACCATATGTCAAGTGCTCAAAAGCTACATGTTGCTAGTGGATACCATATGGGACTCTGTAAGTATGTAACATGCAGAAGCCAGAATCCCTGGGCTATGGGAAGTAAAAACTTCATGAGTGTGTGTGGGGGGGGTCGGAGGTGGGTGGTGGGTGGAGTCAGGGCGGCAATAAGCCTTGGTTGACTGGAGGGCAGTGGTGCAGCAGCCTCCATTGGCACTGCCCATACCTGGGTTATGAGATGGGGTAGTGGGAAGAATAGAAAGGGGCCCTGCCAATGCACGAATTTACCCTTGCCCTTCCTATTGTCTCCCTTTCCCTGCTGCCTCTCAGCAGAGCTGTGGTGCTCTTGGGCTGTAGTATCAGACTGCAGTGAACAAGGGCTCTTCTACCTCTCACCCCTGGATGCCACCTGTGGCCTATATGCCACCCTCACTGGCCTCAGTTTCCAGCTATGGCCCCAGGGTGTGGCCCCCTTTTATCTGTTTCTGCTCCAGTCCCTGCCTTTCTTCATGTGCAAAGGCCTATCTTTCAAAGCCTGCCTGTCCCACAACCTTCTGCCTCTGCCTCTCAATTTCTCATTCTTTCTTCTCATCTTTTAAATTCTGGGTTCCTGAGAGAGAAGCTTTTTCATATCATCTTGGTGCTCAAGCTGTCCTCTTCACTTCTCTCCTAATCTTAGCTTCATTTTTTTGCCTTTAATGTGTCTACTTCCCTTAGTCCTACTTCTTCCCTGCATTTGCCCACAGCACTCCTTCTGTCTGTATCTCTCCTCCACTGGCCCTGCCATACATGTTAACCTCCTCTTCTGTGCCCTTGGTTTATGAATGTCAACTTGGAATACAGGCATTAAAAGTGGCACAGAAAGCTTGGGAGTACATTTCATAGAGCAACACTGACTTTGTCGACTGGGACCAGACCTGGGTCTAGCTGGGCTACTTCATGAAAACCCTGATGCCTCTTGGTAGTAAGCACCATTACCCTTGGTTTCTAGGGGAGAAAAGAAAGGCTCAAAGAGGTGTAGGGACTTCCCCAAGGTGAGTGACAAGCTGGGATTCCAATCCTGTGTTCATTCCACTATAACACAATTCAATGCAAATATTGGAGCTATCGTTTTTATCATTTCTCTGTATTCTCCCTCAAAATCCTAATGCTATATGGCTAGTACGAGATGATTTGCTTAGTTTATTAGGAGTTCTTCTCAAGAGCTCTTTAGAAGGATGCCCAGTACTGACAGCATCTTCTGTACTGGCAGTCACTTACTAATTGTAGTTTATTGCTTGTCTCTCCAGTTTCCTTTTGGATGTGAGTACATTCATCAGGGGAGCACTTTAATAAAGGGATAACAATCCATTTAAAATGAGGAATTTATTTACTGCTTAAAGAATACAGACCAGAAAGCCTTAACAATACAGCTAAAAAAACAAACCCATCCAAAGCTTTTAAGGAAATCTTTGCAGGCATCTGCTTTTTCCTAAACTTTTTTCTGTTGGGGGTTAGAATGAAGAGGCTCAGAATAGGGATAATAGCTCAGAATTTCACCTCTGCTGCAACTATTCCCTTAGCTGGCAAACAACAACAGAACAAAGATGGCAGTGGCAAGAAATCATCCCTGAGGAGGAAAGCAGGCCCTATTACCTGGGCAGACAGAAGACACCACCTAGGATTAACTTCTGCGAGGTAGGCACTTAATTCACTGGGGCAAGTCCTAGCCCTTGGTAGAATCAACTTGGTTCATTCTATGTTCCAGGAAATATTTAAAAAGAAGCAGGAGAACGGAAGCTAAAACATATGCAAATTCACTGTATGACCTTCAGCTTAGACTGTCTGCCTTTAGCAAGCATGGCTGAATCGCCTGATGGTACCAGCAGAATGAACGCAAGACAAGTAATTCTCAAATTGATAAAGAACATCAATTCTTTTGCAATCACATCTACTGCTCTTTTATGTTCTATCCCTTTCTACAATACTATAAACTTTGAGTAAAACTAGCAAAAAAAAAAGTTCAGAGAAACAAATACAAATGATTCAACATAAGGCAACAAAAGGAACAGAAATATGTATGATTTCTTCCAGTCTTCAGTCTAGATGGTAAACCCAAGGGTTGTGTGCCAGTCTGAAGGCTCTCCTCGCTTCAGAACACATTTCAGTTGTTTCTGAAGGGTAATGAGCTGTAGGGAGAAGCAGAAAAGCATGAAAAATTCACCTGAAATCTAAATTTCACTACCTGATCTAGAGCTTACTCACATGAACCAAAATGAACTAAGGTAATTTGATATTTGTAAGATTATCTTAGTCTTGCAATGTTCCAAAGAACAGCACCACCATCAAGAATGTATGCACAATGCTGTGGCCATGATGTTGTTCTTTATTACGCCACTTATAAAAGGAAGCTTTATAATTGAATATGCTTAAAGAATTAAATATGCTTGCTGTTAAGAATTTGCAAGAACTTTTGGGAAAGAGTGTACAGAGAGATCAGTGTAGCCATATTCTAATACTTTCTAAAGCAGAAACCCTAAACCTTTTGAGGTATAGGACTTAAGTTTTTTAATTTGAAATGGCAAAGTGACCGATAACGTTCAGAGGGGTATACTTTCTTTGTTACAAAGATTGTTTTTGAATATTATTCAATTGAGTTCACTCCATACCAGTGTAGATTTTCAGTCTGTGAAATGAAAGGAATGCCACATTACAAAATACTCCATTTTTTCTTTGTGGACTCTTTCTCCTCCCACAACCTGCTAAAGGGAGGTTTTCCTCTAGGCTCAGACTTGTTGCTGAACAGTCAGCCTGGCTAAGTCATCTATCCCCACACCTTCAGTCATCTTTTCTGCAGGAGCCACTCTCCAATCTCCCATTTTCAAAAGTGCTTCCAACTCAACATGCTTCTAACTCAACTCATCATCTTCTCCATCCCCCACTGCCAATAATCTTCTTCCTGTTGTCTTCATTTCAGTTAGTGGCACACAATTTTCCACCCAGGCTTTGGACTCCTCTTTGTTCCCCTTTTGGCCCTTTAAATACAATAATTTGTAAAGTTCTGATTCCTTCTGTCACTTGCATCTTCCTCTCATCTATCCTCTCTCTAATTTCTCTTATACTGCGGTAGAGAAATCTTCCTAAATTATTCCCTAGGTTAAAAAGCTTTGATGGTTCATTATGATCTACACCAAAACTCTAAACTCCTTAGCCCAGCATCACTGTCTCTCAGCCATTGTGCATGCTACTTTCTACAGTCTCCTTTCCCCACTTCCTTATTAAAACCCTACCCACCTTTTAAGGCCTCAGCCAATCATCTCTCCATGAAGTCTTCCCTAATTCCCATGGATAAAAATGAGCTCTCATTCCTTTAAATTCTCATGGATTTCTCCCCAACTAGAGGCAGAGACTGTGGTGGAAGCATTTTGTAGCTCCCTGCAGAACCAGAACGCAGTTTAAAATAGGCACTCAATAAGTCTACATTGAATAAATGAGCTAACATAAAAGTGCTCTGGATGAATAAGGTTTGCAGCTCTGTTTCTATGTTGAAAATTGCACTTACCAATGCTAACTACTTACATGGATGAAAACAAAGATGTTTAGTGAGTGCTAAAGCAATCTTGGCATTACCTGTTCACATGGTTGTTTATAATAGTACTTGGGTAAGTGATTTGCTGAGGGGAAGGGAATACATAGAAATAAGAATTCCACAAGGGAATATATAGAAGAATTCCACTGGCCTTGTTCATGTGGGATGGGGAAGGGGATGGCATCTCTACTTTGACAGCCCCATGCTAAGCCCATCCTCATAATACGGCTCTCAGTCTTTTAGAAATTGTTAACCCTCAACAGTATAGGGCTGCAGTCAGCATGCATTTCCTGAACAGCTACTTGATGCCCACACTGCCCTTTTCTCTTCTAACTCTGCTCACTCTCTTGTGGCTTTGAATAATACAGTTCTGAATAATAATACAGAATATACAAGTGAAAAACCTGGCATACATCCTTAACGCTTCCTTCTTCTTCAACACCCAGTAACTCACCCAAGTCCCATCAATTCTACCTTTAAAATATGTATTTTCTCATATATGAATGTTTGTAGTAGCACTATTCACGAAAGCCCCCAAACAAAAACAACCCAAATGTGCATCGGTACAGGAATGGAGAAGCAAAATATGGTATATACATACGATGGAATAGTACTCATCCACAAAACAGAATAAAGTATGGATATGTGCCATGACATGGATTAACCTTGAAAACATTATGCTAAGTCAAAGCAGCCAGACACAAACGTTATGTTTCCTTTTATATTAAATAACCACAATAGATAAAGTGGACTAGAAGAAAGTAGGTTAGTGGTTGCCTAGGGTTGGGGGGTTGGAGGGGTACATAAGAAATAGGGAGTGACTGCTAATGGGTACAGATTTCTTTTTGAGGTGATGAAAAAATTCTAAAATTAATTGTGATGGTTGTACAGTTCTATGAATATACTAAAAGCCACTGAATTGTATAATTAAAATGGGTGAATTTTGTGGTATATGAATTATATCTCAATAAAGCTGTTATATAAAAACATTTTTATTGCAGTTAAAAATATATATTCTTTCCATATTCATCGCCACCACCTTAGACTAAATTTGCATCATCTCTTCTTAGACAACCAGATCGCCTCCTAACTGGCTTCCCTGCTTCTCGTCCTGCCCTCCTTCAATCCATTCTCCAGATAATAATCAGAGTGGTCTTTAAAAAGTTTCAATTTAGTTTGAAGCTTTACTTTCCTCCTTAAAACTCTTCAAGGGCTTCCCACTGCATTTAAGGCTATAACTCATCCTCCTTACCTTCTGCAACCTTATGTTAAGTCACCCTCTTCCTGGCTTTAAATAGTCCAGAGGCCCTCAAAGAGGCCAAGTTCTTTCCCAATGTGGGACCTGGCATATGCTCCAACCGACACACTCTTCATCTCCTTTTCACCTGAACTTAACCTTCAGGTCTCAGCTTAAATACCACTGTTCAAAAAAGCCAATCATGATCACTCCCAGTTTGATTCAGGACTCTATTAAAACACTACCATTGATGTTTTTTTCTCCTTCACAGCACTTCTTCCCAATTTGCATGATCATTTATTTACTGTTGGTCTTCCCCATGAGCTCCAGGAATATTGCATGCGTCTATTCAACACTATGTACCCATGCACTGCTTTTCACTTAACAGGCATTCAGTATCTGTTGAAGGAGTGAATTTTAACAGAGACCTTGTTCCAACCTGCTGCCCTCACGCTACTATTCCCGTGAAAGAAACAGCCAGAAATGAGACTGGGGGTCGGGTGGGGGATTCTCTGCACAAATATTTTCTGGTTGATTTGAAAACATTCTTCTCACCTGTTCATTTTTCTCCTCCTCTAACATAAGCTGCTCCACCACAGAATGTAAATAATTCTGGAAAACAAATGGTATAAATGGTGAATGCTGAGCCTCACAGGAAAAAAAAATTGGCAAATAACGTGAATAGAAAACTGTCAGTCATAACAAAAGAGCACCCTTTTTCAAGGATTTAGTATATAAAAACTGCAACCCCTAACTACGGAATCAACCAATTTGATTTTATATACCCTACACAGCATTTTTTTTCTTGCCCTAAGATAGTGGTTGGAATACCTTCATATTACCTTTTCCTAGTTTAGCACAAACCCTTTGTCCATGGTGAACTATCAAAAAAGCTGGTTTGGAATTGGGTGCTGACTCTTTTATTCTCCCCTGCACGATGGCAAAATATTACTAATCCTAACTAGTACTGCATACAACAGCAATCACACTATTACCATATAACTGTACCTTTCAAAGTGTGTCCACATTTATTACCTCACTTTGTCATTCTAAAGGACAAAGCTCAGCTCTAAACAGATACAGTTCTGTGTCAGTTGCTCCCCTTTGATGACTATAGCTCTATGGAAAATGAAATCTGGCAAGGAATTCTCCAGATGTTTCAGAACTTCCCTCACTATAAAAAGGGAAGTAAACATAGCCTAAATGTATTTGCCTTTTGTTGAGATGTGTATTAATGTGTATTAATAAAATAAAGCAAGATAGATATTTATCTTGTTCAAGCATGTATCATCAGATTTAAAAATGAACTAAGTTCATTTTCTTTCACTGCAATGAATACACTTTAGTATTCTGAAGACAAGGTTCAGTCTCAGCCCTACCACTTTCTGTAGTCCTTGGCAAGTGACTTAACCTTTTAGAATTTCAAATTTTTATCTATAAAATGGGAATAGTGACAGTACCTATATTTCAGGGATGTAAGGAAGAAATGAGATAATACATGTAAAATGAATGCTTCACTCATTCTCTGCTTTTCACATGGCAAATGCTCGATATTGGCAATTATAATCTCAAGGCTCCTAATCCCTTCCCAAAATGCTTATATGAGATGATGAAAAGTACTCAAGTATAAAGAAATAGCTTTTTTTTCTTTCAGTGCAGGTTTCTAAGAGGTTGTTTAGGTTCACAAATTAGCAAGAATGTTGCATGGAGATGACATGAGTGGAAACACACAGATGAGATTTTGAAATAAGATATCAAGATATCTTATACCAGCCAATAAGAATTTACCTTGAGCAACAGGTTTTCCACTTTCGCAAGGAGATCCCTCTTTGCGCTTCCTGTTGAATCTCTTGGAGCTTCCTTTCCACATAACGAATATGCTGCTGTATTCTCAAGACTAACAGAAACAGACAGAAACTTTATGTATCTAAACATAGCCTAAACTAGTGGACTGAGATCCAAATCATCTACAACTCTGCTACACATCTGATGATAACTTCTCACACTTAGCCTTACATCTAACATGTGGTTAGAGTCAGTCTTTAGCACTGCCACCCACTCTGTCCTACCCCTTTGTTTTTCCTTTAACTTATCTGTTGAATCAGCTCCTTCCTTTGCCTCATACTGGCCAGATTCAATGAACTGGACCTGTAGCTCCTTTTCCAGATCCTCATCATCATCATCTTCCTCCTCATCCTCATCTTCATTGTCATCTTCCTCATCTTCATTGTCATCTTCCTCCTCATCTTCATTGTCACCTTCTTCCTCATCCTCATCTTCATTGTCATCTTCCTCCTCATCCTCATCTTCATCATCTTCCTCCTCTTCCTCATCTTGTCATCTTCCTCCTCATCCTCATCTTCATTGTCATCTTTGTCCTCATCCTTGTACTCGTCTTCATCCTTCTCATTACTGTTACTGCTCAAATCACCGAACTTCTGAAGCCTATTTAATCCTATTGGTTTTAAGAAAAAAGTGAAATTATCTGAAGCTTCTCAAATGACTCCCACCCTAACTACAATTATACTCCCTCCCCTCAAATTTACTGGGCAGCCAATGAATTTTAAAAATAATTTTCTCAGAGGAAGATTCTTCCCTTCATAAAAAAAAGGATGGGAAATATAAAACACTGACACTCATTTATATATTCAATGATCAAAGCATTTAGAGAATCTAAGGGTCCATAGGAATTTAGAATACCAGGGCTAGATGGGAGATGAGAATGACAACCTACAACCCCTAAAGCACTGAAGGGCCAATAGGAGGGAAAAAGGACAAAGGCACCCTTTTTTTGTGATTGGTATCTGAGTCTATGGAGAACAGTCTTATGCAGAGTCAAAACCTATCCTCTCTGAAGCTTCTCCTCGGTCCTTATTAATGTACCTGATGAGACATGACCCTGCTTGCACGTTGTTTTTCCTGGGAGGATTGCAAAGCCTGGGGTGGAGGCTTGGTTCTCTCCTTCCTTGGTTTCATCTTCACCAATGACTTCCCATCCTGAAAGGAAGGGCAGTCAAGGGAAAAGTAGGAAGAGAGGAGGGGCACAGGTGAAAGGGAAGGGGCTCTCTGGCTCAAAGTGGTATTTAAGTTAATCCAGCTTCAGGTCATTTGTATCCGGAGTCCTGGTATGGAGATGTACCTTATATTGAATTACACAAGTAAATAAACTCTGTTTAGCTATTCCTACCTAGTGTAGAAATTTAATCTTCTACACATCAAAATCAGCACACAAATACCAGAAGGAGGGCTTGTCACCAAGTGCACATGGGATTGAAAAGACTACACAGGAAATATTTAGTATAAAAGGATATGGACACTGACAGCTGCAGCATCTGAACGCAGTAATTTCTTCACTTCCTCAGGACATTCATTGTACTGAACCAAAGTGGGGGAAGAAGACATACCAGTAAGGTCATTGAAAAACCTTCATTTTGCAGGTATGCCCTCTTCCTACATACAAATTCACTCAAATAATTAGGCCTCTTTAATATCCATTCAAATTTCTACATCAAGTTATGCTATTTAATGAAGAAATCTTTGACTCGTATAGTAAGCTCATTTCCCCCCTGCCATCAAACAACTGACTTGAGACATTTAATCTTTTCAATCTGCAACTCCATGTTAAAGACCTCTCTCAGAGGGGCAACCCTTAGGTCTCAGTAACTAATTATTTGCCCTGACCCATATTGGCAAAGAACTATAATACCTTATTTGTCATTTAGAAATCATTTGGTTTAAAGGTCCATATTCCCAGATTTCACTTCCCCACATTTTTATTATTAGTCTTCCTATAAAAACTGGGTCTTAAGCTACATATTCTCCCTTAAATCCAGTTTTGGACAATTATCTCCACAGTAACTGGTTCGACATGCCACAAATAGAAATTAGAACTTTGAGGGGGAATAAGAAACTGCAAGCAACTGCTGGTAAAGGTGAATCCTGGCTTCAAAGAAAACGCTTTTTAAATAAATATCAGAGAAAAAAGCAGATTAGAATACACAAGGTCACTGGGCAAACTGTATCTTTTCCTACAGGAGTTATCGGACATTAAACAATGAATTCATTCTCAGTGAACCACATTCAGTATATGTATATGGGAGTAGGGGTTAGAGGTGAGAAGGAAGACTTGAAAAGTAACCTTTATGATTTCTTCGAAGCTATGAATAAAATGCATTGGGGGAATGGCAAAGTTATGTTATGATTGCTCTACCTCAGTGAGGCTGATTTCTTCAGTTTGTTTGAAATCAACAAGCTATAAAATAAAACAATAAACATGAGGTTATATTACATTCTACTTCACCAAAGCTTGAAGAATTCTAAACTTATTCCTCAGTTTTACATTCAGCAGGCACTTAATAAATGCTGTTGACTGACACTATAAAAGCCAAAGCAACCATGTTCATAGATTGATTCAACACAGTAAGTAAAGCTGTCAATTCCCCCAAACTTGATCTATAAGTTCAATGCAAGTCCTATCAAAATTCCAGCAAGGTTTTCTATATACATAGACAAATTTATTCTAAAATTTATAAGGAAAGGTACAAAAACTTATTCTAAAACATATGGAAAGGTCTAGAACAGCTAAAGCAATCTTCACAAAGAAAAATAAATTGAGAACAGTCTTCCTGATTTCACAACCTATTATATAGCTACACTGTGATATTGCTAGAGGGATCAACGATATAGATAATGGAACAGAACAGGGAACCCAGAAACAGGCTTACACAAAAATACCCAAATGATTTTTTGACAAAGGTATGAAAGCAATATAATGGAGGAAGGATAGCCTTTTTAACAAGTGGTGCTGGAGCAAGTAGACATGCAAAGGCAAACAAAAAGTGAACTTTGAACTAAGCCTCACACATTTTATGGAAATTAACTCAAAAATAGATTGCAAGCTTAAATGTAAAATGTAAAACATTTAGAAAAAGAAACAGGAAAAAGTCTTCAGGATCTGGGCAAGGCAAAGAGTTCATACACTTGACACAAAAAACAAGATCCTTAAAAGGAAAAAAAATCAATGAACTAGGCCTCCTCAAACAAAAAAGCTTTTGCTCTTTGAAAGACCCTGTGAAGAAGATGGAAAGACAAGCTGCAGACTGGGAGAAAATATTTACAAACCAAATATCTGACAAAAGACTAATATTTGGAATAGAAAAAGAACTCTCAGAACTCAACCAAAAAAATCCACTTAGAAAATGGGCAAAAGGCATGAACAGACATTTCACTGAAGTGGATATGCAGATGGAAAACAGCACAGGAGATGTTCAGTATAACTAGCCATCAAAGAAATGCAGCTAATACCACAATAAGATCACTATAAATCTATCAGAATGGTTAAAATAAAAAATAGTACCACCACCTAATGCTGGTGAGGATGTACAGAAACTGGATCTCACATACACTGCTGGTGGGAATGTAAAATGGAATAACCACTCTGGAAATCAGTACCGTAGTTTCTTATAAAAGTAAACATGCAGCTACCATGGAACCCCACAATTGCACTCCTGGGCATTTATCTCAGAGAAATGAATACTTACATTCACACGATAGTCAAAAACTGGAAAGAACTCAGCTATCCTTCAATGGGTTAGTAGTTAAACAAACTGTGGTACAGTAATACCATGGAATACTGCTCAGCAATGAATGGAACAAACTATCGATACATACAACAGCCTGCATGGATCTTACAGGAATTATGCTGAGTGGAGAAAAAAAAAGTCAGTCTGAAATGTTATGCATTGCACTATTCCATTTATATGACATTCTGAAAGTGACAGAGCTGGAGAACATTAGTGATTGCCAGAGGTTAGAGACTGGGGGTATGATGTAGGAGGTGGGTGAGAATGGCTATAAAAGAGCAAGATGAGGAATCCTTGTGGTAACAGAACTGCTTAGTACCTTGACTGTGCAGATGGACACATGAGCATACACATGGAATAAAACTGCATAGAACTAAACACACACACACACACACAGGATTACAAGTTGGAGAAATTTAAATAAAATAGGGGAATTGTAACAATGTCAATTTCCTATCTGTGTTATTGTACCATAGTTTTACAAAAACTTACAATAGAGAAAATGGGATAAAGGGTACATGGTATCTCTCTTTTATTTCTTACAACTGCATGTTAATCTACATTTCAAAATAGAAAGTTTAAAAAAAAGCAGCTCAGCCACAGCATTCAGTAGCTTGCCCAAGGTTCTACAAGTCTGAGACAAGTTTAGGAATGTAAGCACAATTCCAAATTCTCAGGTTCTGGATAGATTCATTTTTAAATGAGATCTTGAAATTGAACATAAAAAGTATTAACTAAAGTTTCAAATTCATTACCCCTCCAGATCCCTAAACGACTAGCCTATACCCTCAAGGATCAGGTCTGTTTTTGTTCACTATACATTCCCAATTGCTAGCACCCAGTGCCTGCCATTTAGCTCACACTTAACAAATGTTTACTGAATACATAAATGAATGAACAAGCTAATCCCCAATGACTGTCCCCCCAACCCCATAATCCTCTTCCAATGCATCCAAGTAGACACAGAAATAGCATGCAGCCAACCTTTTTTGTTGTTTGGTGGAAGCTTTTTTTTCTGATATTCTTAAGTGGTGGAGTAACTAAAATAAATTCAACATGGTGAAACATATGACATATGGTAGTCACATATGTATGTGAGTTTTATAAAGACAAAGGTCATGTGATAAGCCACTGGCTCATGATATGACTCATTCCTTTAAGAATGTTTGGATACCTAATGAACCAAACACCTAAGTGTGGTAACAGGGCCCCCTGGCTCATAAGTAATTGGGATTCAGCAGATAAATGCAGTATGCCCGTATGAGAAAGGGGCTGGTGACTTACTGCCATGATTCCAGGCATATTTTTTCTGTTTCTTTCTTTATTTTTCCTGATTACTTTAGGATCAGTAGAAGTAATGGGCTCTTCCACAGAAGAGTGGAGATCACCATCAGCAGAGCACACAAGCATCTACATTTAACAAAGACAAAGAAATTGACTGTAGCAATAAATCTTGGGTTAGTCATGAATCATGGTCATCCTTACCACTAGACATACTGGAGCATAGAAGTAAGGAGAATCTTATTTGACATTTCAAGAAAAGCAAGTATTACATACATTTGTACTCATTCTCTAACTTGGCAGCACTGTACATGGACTCTGAGGGACTGTTTTTCGCTCAAGTGCTTACCACTGCAGAGGAAACATGTTAAAAACAAATATATCTTAGCATTTTGATTTAGAAGTGAAACAAGAGATCAACAGTAGAGGTGATGAGTAAGAACCACAGAAAACCCCGAGTTAACAGCATACTGATTTAACAAAAAGTTCAGGAGATGATCCCACCTGCTCACATTTTTTAGATGATGAGAAGTCACTGTAAATGGCAAACAGGGGTTCTAAAAGCTATTTGGATAAAGTGAAGTAGTGAGAAGTTATGGATCAAACACCAAACCAGAACACGATATTATATTCCTGGGCAGCTGAGCTGGAAATTAGAAATGGCAAGCAGTCATTCACCAACTGGGAAGAAGCACTGAAAGAAAAAGAGGAGGAAGAAAGGGATTCCTTCAGAGATGGGAGACACAGGAGATTAAGAAAACTCATCCATACCTGGGAAATATCTGCCATTTTTTATAAAATGTTTTTCTATTGAGAATTTTTAGGCTTTTGATAATGCGAGGCAGATCAACCAGCTGAGCATCTAGTGAAACATCTTCTATCCCAACAACTGCATGGTGCCCATCAGCTGAAGAGAAGTAAGAAAGATTAAAGTTGCCATCTTCTCAATGTACTTTTATGCCTTCCAGGGATTGAATAATGAAGACTTATGTGAAACAGACTAGTCTTTCAGTGATACTATTTCTCATAATGCTACAATTCTCAAAGAAGGCAGGGCATATTGAGCTCTTTTTTTCCAAGTTTATGTTACTCCATCAAAAATAGCTAAGAGTCTTGGTAATGGTTGTGAACTAAATGTGGATTAAGTGGTAAATGTTGAATTCTCATCCTGAAAGGCAAACTCCTTTCAAAATGCAAAAAAAAAAATCGTTTTGACTCCATTAGAAGCATTCAACTGTGTCATTGTACATGGGTGTTTTCAAAGGGTTTGGTGATGGAAGGGTTGATCCTAGAACAGTGCTAGTAAATCAGCAATCACAAAGCTTGTATGTAGGAGGCAATCAGCAGTATGCAAATCCCACAGATTACCTCCAGTTCTTCCTTGCACACACTACGATAATTACCTCAAGTTGCATAATTTCTACTTCCCTTCCTCAATAAAGAAGAGATGGGAGAGGCCTGGATTAAAGATGGCAGTGTGAGAAGTGAGACAGAGAACTCCTCCCAAAATCACATATAATATGAAAATAGAGTTAACACAACTAATCCTAAAAGAACAACAGGAAAAAAGGCTGCGCCGGACTGCATACACCTGGAGAACAGAACAGACCTCACGAAACAGGGTAACGTACCAAAGCCATGATCCAGGGGGACCCAAGCCCTTCCCCCATCCCAGCTCACTGGCGGGAGGAAGAGAAACAGAGCAGGGAGAGGGTGGAAGCCTAGGACTGCTGAACACCCAGTGCTGGAGATCTGCTTTGGGAGCACAAACCTACATTGCATGGTGCTCTGGAGATTAATGGGGTTGGAAAGCTAAGACAGGCGGAATACTTGGAAAGACTGAGATTCCAGTAGTTTGTGGAGGACAGGGATCCACATCTGGCTGCTCTGGGACAAAGGAAAGACAGGCAGTCTGAGAGGCTTCCTAGCAGCAAGAGGGCTGCTGAAGGGGGTAGGGATCACATAGAGCTTGCTGCTCAGGAGAAGGAATAGGTGGACAAGGTTGTCTGGGCATGCTCCGCCCAGCAGGTTGGGAACTTTCAGGAGCTTCAGGGGCTCTAGCCCCCTTGGATGGCTACTCAGCTCTGAGGTCCCCCACTGTGATATGCAGCCTGCAGCTCCTTCCTCCTGGTTTGCTGGTACTGGCTCGCAAACCGGCAGTCCCTGCTCTAGTGTCAGGCCAGCCAGAGGAAGGCCATGCCTATGGCAGCTACAAATGCAAAGCACAGAGGCTTACACCTGTGTGCTCGGCCCACTGGTTCTGACACTGGAGACAGGCATTGTAGCCAGGAAGCAGGAAACAGCTCTTTCCTCCTCCCAGGCACCAGTGCTGCTCCCCTGTGACCCTCAACATCACTACAGGGGCTGAGTAGCTCCAGAAACTATAGAGCTTCTGGGCACTAGAGGGCACCACATACAAATATGAAATGTCAAAGGAACCTAGTTCAAACCAAAATCTCACAAACACCAGAAAAAGAACCAACTGAAACTGAACTCACCAATCTTTCTGAAAGAGAGTTCAAAAAAAAAAATCATAAACATGCTCATGGAGGTACATGAAAATATTCAAGAACTCAGGGATGAATTTAGGATGGAGAGTCAATCATTAAGAAATTCCATATCTGAAATGAAACATACAATGGAGGGATTTAAAGGCAGATTAGATGTAGAAGAAGAGACAGTAAATGGAATAGAAATTAGTGAAGAGGAATACAAAGAAGCTAAGGCACAGAAAGAAAAAAGGATCTCTAGGAATGAAACAATATTGAGAGAACTGCGTGTCCAATCCCAATGGGACAATATTTGCATTATATGGGGTACCAGAAGAGAGAGAAAAAGGGATAGAAAGTGTCTTTGAGGAGGTAATTGCTGAAAACTTCCCCAATCTGGGGAAGGTGATAGTCTCTCACGCCATGGAGATCCACAGATCTCCCAACACAAGGGACCCAAGGAAGACACCAAGACATATAGTAATAAAATTGGCAAAGATCAAGGATAAGGACAGACTATTACAAGCAGCCGGAGAGAGAAATAAGATCACATACAAAGGAAAGCCCATGAGGCTAACATCAGATTTCTCAGCAGAAACCTTACAGGCCAGAAGGGAGTGGCATGATGTATTTAATGCAATGAAGCAGAAGGGCCTCGAACCAAGAATAATTTACCCGGAACATTATCATTTAAATTTAAAGGAGGGATTAAACAATTTTCAGATAAGCAAAAGCTGAGAGAATTTACCTCCCACAAACCATCTCTACAGTCTATTTTGGAGGGACTGCTATAGATGGAAGTGTTCCTAAGGTTTAGTAGCTGTCACCAGAGGTAATAAAACCACAGTAAAGAAATTAGAGCAGCTAATTATTAAGCAAATAAAAAATTGAATGAACTATCCCCAAAGCCAATCAAGGGATAGACAAAGAATACAGAATATGATACCTAATATATAAATAATGGAGGAGGAAGAAAAAGGAGGAGAAAAAGAAAAGAACCTTTAGATTGTGTTTGTAACAGCATACTAAGTGAGTTAAATTAGACTGTTAGATAATAAGGGAATTACCCTTGAACCTTTGGTAACCATGAATCTAAAGCCTGCAATGGCAATAAGTACATACCTATTGATAATCACTCTAAATGTAAACGGTCTGAATGCACCAATCAAAAGACATAGAGTCACTGAATGGATAAAAAACAAGACCTGTCTATATGCTGCCTACAAGAGACTCACTTGAAACCCAAAGACATACACAGAATGAAACTAAAGGGATGGAAAAAGATATTTCATGCAACTAATAGAGAGAAAAAAGCAGGAGTTGCAGTACTTGTACAGACAAAATAGACTTCAAAACAAAGGAAGTCAGAAGAGACAAAGAAGGACATTGCATAATGATAAAGGGGTCAGTCCAAGAAGAGGATATAACTACGATAAATATCTATGCACCCAACACAGAAGCACCTACATATGTGAAACAAATACTAACAGAATTAAAGGGGGAAATAGAATGCAATGCATTCATTTTTGGAGACTTCAACACACCACTCACTCCAAAGGACAGATCCACCAGAAAATTAGTAAGGAGACAGAGGCACTGAACAATGTATTAGAACAGATGGACCTAACGGATATCTACAGAACACTCCATCCAAAAGCAAGAGTACACACATTCTTCTCAAGGGCACATGGAACATTTTCAAGAATAGATCATACAGCAGGCCACAAAAAGAGCCTCAGTAAATTAAAAAAGACTGAAATTGTACCAACCAGTTCTCAGACCACAAAGGTATGAAACTAGAAATAAACTACACAAAGTAAACGAAAAAGCCCACAAGCACATGGAGGCTTCACAACATACTCCTAAATAATCAATAGATCAATGACCAACTAAAAACAGAGATCAAGCAATATATGGGGAAAAATGGTAACAATAATTCAACACTAAAAACTCTGTGGGATGCAGCAAAGGCCATGCTAACAGGGAAGTATATTGCAATACAGGCCCACCTCAGGAAAGAAGAATAATCCCATATGAACAGTCTAAACTCACAATTAAAGAAACTAGTAAAAGAAGAACAAATGAGACCCAAAGTCATTATAAGGAGGGACATAATACGGATCAGAGCACAAATAAATAAAAGCAAGAATAATAAAATAATAGAAAGAATCAGTGAAAGCAAGAGCTGTTTCTTCAGGAAAATAAACAAAATAGACAAACCACTAGCCAGACTTCTCAAGAAATAAAGAGTCTACACTCATAAACAAAATCAGAAATGAGAAAGGAAAAATCATTACAGACACCACAGAAATAAAAAGAATTATGAGAGAATACTATGAAAAATTACATGCTAGCAAACTGGATAACCTAGAAGAAATGGACAAGTTTCTAGAAAAATACAACCTTCCAAGGCTGACCCAGAAAGAAACAGAAAATCTGAATAGACCAATTACCAGCAATGAAACAGAATTGGTTATCAAAAAACTACCTAAGAACAAAACACCTGGACCAGATGGCTTCACTGTTGAATTTTATTAAACTTTTTGTGAAGACCTAATACCCATCCTCCTTAAAGTTTTCCAAAAAGTAGAAGAGGAGAGAATACTCCCAAACTCATTCTATGAGGTAGGGATCACTCTAATACCAAAACCAGGCAGACACCACAAAAAAAGAAAATTATAGACCAATATCCCTGATGAACACAGATACAAAAATATATTAGCAAACCAAATTCAAAAATATATCAAGAAGATCATCCATCATGATCAAGTAGGATTTATTCCAGGGATGCAAGGATGGTATTGAAAATCCATCAACATCATTCACCACGTCAACAAAAAGGACAAAAAGCACATGATCATCTCCATAGATATTGAAAAAGCATTTGACAAAACTCAACATCCATTAATAATAAAAGCTCTCAACAAAATGGGTATAGAGGGCAAGTACCTCAACATAATAAAGGCCATATATGACAAACCCACAGCCAACATCATACTTAACAGTGAGAAGCTGAAAGTTTTTCCTTTAAGATCAAGAGCAAGACAAGGATGCCCACTCTCCCCACTTTTATTCAACATAGTTCTGGAGGTCCTAGACATGGCAATCAGAGAACACAAAGAAATAAAAGGCATCCAGATTGCCAAGGAAGAAGTTAAACTGTCCCTATTTGCAGATGACATGATATTGTACATAAAAAACCCTAAAGAATCCACTCCCAAACTACTAGATCTAATATCTGAATTCAGCAAAGTTGCAGGATACAAAATTAATACACAGAAATCTGTTGCATTCCTATATGCTAATGATGAACTAGCAGAAAGAGAAACCAGGAAAACAATTCCATTCACAATTACATCAAAAAAAAATAAAATACCTAGGAATAAACCTAACCAAAGAAGTGAAAGACTTATACTCCGAAAAGTACAAGATACTTATGAGATAAATTAAAGAAGATACCAATGAATGGAAACACATCCTGTGCAATCCTCAGAAGGAAGAATAAAGTGGGGGGGATTATGCTCCCTGACTTAAAGCTCTACAACAAAGCCACAGTAATCAAGACAATTTGGTACTGGCTCAAGACAGACCCACAGACTGATGGAAAAGACTAGAGAGCCCAGATATAAACCCAAGCATATATGGTCAATTAATATACGATAAAGGAGCCATGGATATACAATGGGAAATGACAGCCTCTATAACAACTGGTATTGATGATACTGGGCAGCTACATGTAAGAGAATGAAACTGGATTATTGTCTAACTCCATACACAAAAGTAAACTCAAAATGGATCAAAGACCTGAATGTAAGTAACGAAACCATAAAACTCTTAGAAGAAAACATAGGCAAAAATCTCTTGAATATAAACATGAGCAACTTTTTCCTGAATGCATCTCCTCAGGCAAGGGAAGCAAAATAAAAAATGAACAAATGGGACTACATCATGCTTCTGTACAGCAAAGGACATCATCAACAGAACAAAAAGGCATCCTACAGTATGGGAGAATATATTTGTAAATGATGTATCTGAGAAGGGGTTGACATCCAAAATATATAAAGAGCTCATGTGCCTCAACAAATAAAAAGCAAATAACCTGATGAAAAAATGGGTAGAGGATTTGAACAGACACTTCTCCAAAGAAGAAATTCAGATAGCCAACAGGCACATGAAAAGATGCTCCACATCACAAGTCATCAGAGAAATGCAAATTAAAACCACAATGAGATATCACCTCACACCAGTGAGGATGGCCATCATCCAAAAGAAAAACAACAACAAATGCTGGCAAAGATGTGGAGAAAGGGAAACCCTCCTACATTGCTGGTGGGAATGTAATGTAGTTCAACCATTGTGGAAAGCAGTACGGAAGTTCCTCAAAAAGCTAAAAGTAGAAATACCATTTGACCCAGGAATTCCACTCCTAGGAATTTACCCAAAGAATACATATTCTCAGATTCAAAAAGACATATACACCCCTGTGTTTATTGCAGCACTATTTATAATAGCCAAGATATGGAAGCAACTTAAGTGTCCATCAGTAGATGAATGGATAAAGAAGATGTGATACACATACACAATGAAATACTATTCAGCCGTAAGAAAGAAACAAATCCTACCATTACAACAACATAGATGGAGCTACCGGGTATTAGGCTCAGTGAAATAAACCAGGCAGAGAAAGACAAGTACCAAATGACTTCCCTCATTTGTGGAGTATAACAACAAAGCAAAACTGAAGGAACAAAACAGCAACAGACTCCAAGAGGGGAGTAGGGGTTACCAAAGGGGAGGGGTGGGGGAGGGAGGGAGAAGGGGATTGTGGGGAATCATGATTGGTGCACATGGTGTATGTGGGGTCACAGGGAAGACAGTGTAGCTCAGAGAAGACAAATAGGGACTCTGTGGCATCTTACTACACTGATGGACAGTGACTGCAACAGGGCATGGGGGGGACTCAATAATATGGGTGAATGTAATAACCACATTGTTTTTGTTGTGAAACCTTCATAAGAGTGTATATCAATGATAACTTAATAAAAAAAAGAGATGGGAGTGATTTAAGCCTCTCTTATAGTCGATCAAGACAGAGACCACATTCTATTCTTTGTCACATTCTTAGTATCTAGTACAGTGCTTGACACATAGCAATCTCTTAATGAATTACTGTTCAATGTATGGTGAATGGTATTAACTACTTATGAGAGAAGTCAAGTTTTAGTTTATCCTTCATGGTAGCACTTTCAGAATGTATTATCTTCCTGACAGTAGCAGCATGTTCCTAAAAAGGAAGTAAATTGAAAAATCAGGATGAATTGTCTATTTGGCAGCTACCAGACAGGTATGTCAAAGAGAGCCCTCCCTTAAATAAAACCTTAAACCTCCCAAACATTAAGAACAAGGCTATGTACCATGAGATACTGTGCACTGGGTAAGTGAAGTTAGGATGAGGCAGACTCTAATCTCATTGTTGTCTTTCAGTAGCTGCAGTTAATGCCTTCTCTTAGTTCTACATTCCTGCCTCTCGCTGCTACCCTTCAGTTGGAGTTGCTATGGAAAGACTTAACTGCAGTTTTACTGGGCATATTCATTAACCCTAATTGGGGAAATTTCTTTCAGAAGCCCACTCTTAATATAGCTTTCTTAGATTAAGTAGTACTTGAATACAGGTATCAATACGGTAAGAGCCCCTAACACAATGTTGAGGTGCGCTTCCACAGCCTGCCTGGTGGTGAATATGAGGAAACAGTGCTCTTCCCTCTCACTGCCCCTTCTGAGGTGACAGAAAGGATTTTAGAATTATCTTCGCTGTCCAGTGAACAAACTCTTAGCATCTGTGGTAAATGACTGAATCCACGAGTTTCATAGCTGTTTGCCAGGAAGTCAACCCACATGAGACATGGCACGTAGAGGGCAAAAGAAACACTGCTAAAAAGAGTACACACTAGGATAGGGCTGCTTGGAGGCAAATGTTCTCAGTTTTTACAGCCAACCTTAAATAGAAGGGCTACAGAATCCAAGCAGAGTTAATACTTATGTACTGAAGATATTTGGTCTGAGACACAAAGGTTTCTTACCAGAGGCAGACGCAATATAAATTGGTCCTCAAGTTCGTGAGGAGGTTCATTCTGGCTTGGACTCATCTCTTGCTCTTGAGTCCTTGAAAACAGACATAAAACCAAGTCACCAAAAACTCTTGCTCCCTCTGCTGACCACTCCTGGTAGTACTGGTTAAGTTTAGAAAAGCTCTTTTGTCCCTAACCCTCACAGGAATGATGTGTGGGCAGCTCTGAAATACCTTATTTGACATAACTTGATTATTTCTAAAAATCATCTTATCTCCCCTTCAACATATGCACGCTTTACAAAGTTAATTCGAACTACAGGGTAACAAATGAAGCAACAGTTCTTATGAAACATGACTTAGTCTTAATATTCTTAAACTCTTAGGTAAAGAACTACAATTCACCACCACAATGGTGCCAACCAAAGCAAAGTACATCCCTCTGCAGGGAAGAGTGCCAAAGAAAGGTCAAAACCAGACAAAACCACTGGCAGAAATGTTCTATGGTGATGTGAAGGAAATAAGCTTAATTTTCAATATCTCTGCCATAAAGGATTGGTAGGAATTAAGCAAGTTGATGAGATAGCAAGCAGCTTTTTATGACTCTAGAGCCAGCATCAAGAGCTCTGATCTACCTGGGGAAAAGTTAGGAGTCCAGTTCTTATGGCTGGCTATCTATAGTAGTACATCTAACTTCATGGAATGGGCACATTCCTGAAGGAGTGATACAAAAGAACATAAAATCCAATTTGGTGTACTTATTACTAACATTTACTGCAAATATTCTATGTGCCAGGCAGTAACATTGAGTGTGTTAGGTCTATTATTTCATTTATTCCTCATAACCACCACTTATTTGAAATACCCCTAAAAGTTATTTAAAGGAATCTTAAGATGGATCCCTTTATTTAAAAAAAATACACCTATTCACCTATAAAAAGAAATCTTCCCATTGGCAACAACATGGATGGATCTAGAGGGCATTATGCTCAGTGAAATAAGCCAGGGAGAGAAAGACAAATACTATATGATTTCACTTATTTGTGGAGTATGAAAACAAAGCAAACAGAAGGAAAAATAGCAGTAGACTCATAGATACCCAGAAGGCACTAGAGGTTACCAAGGGGGAGGGATTGTGGTGGGTGAGGTGGGGAGAGCTAAAGGGATAAAGGGGCACAATAATTCATAATCACAAGTTTATCATGTGAGCAGCAGTACAGCATGGAGAATATACTAAATGACTCCATAACATCTTACTAGGTTAATATATAGTAACCACACTAGAGGTGAGGATTTAATAATATGGGTAACTGTTGAACCACTGTGTTGTATATTTGAGACCAACGTAAGATTGTATATCAACTATACTTTAATACAAAAAATATGCCTTCTGTAAAGTGAATAATCTCCTTCATTATTTTAAATCTTCTTTTCCATCTATTGGGATGTATATGCAGTGGCTTGCATCTTAGGTTTCAGGGCTCACACTTCTGAGTAAATTTTTTCTCAAAGGTGGCAAGAAAGCAATGTACAAATGTGAAACCTGACCAAGTTTTCTTATGAAGTAATATACCAAGTTGTAAAATCTCAACACCTTAAATTACTTAAAAGCTCCAGTTAACATACAGCTCCTAATACTCTGTAAACCGTTAACTGGGTTCTGAGTTTTGAATTTGAATGTCACTAAAGCACTAAAAACTTCTTAAAAAATACATACAAATAAATCTGAGACCCTGTTTCAGTGAAATCATTCACCAGTGATGATGTTAGTCCTTTAGCATGACTTCAGCAACTACCAGAAAGGCCTAGAAAGCACAAGAGATGTCAGCCGTGGAGAAACAGACACCCGGGATGAGAGAGATTATTTGCCTCTCTCTCTGTCATTGTCTTTCATTGTCATAAATGATTATTGGTAACAATCATTTCTTCTCTTCCTGCTTTAGACAGTTATACAGATACACAGACATACACACACACACACACAAATACAAAAACCATTTGTAAACATCAGGGAAAAACTTAATTACAATAAAGTAAACACATAAAAATCTTGGGACCTAGGCACATTGCCTAAGGGAATGAAGAGTAACAAAGATTTAAGGTTGGGAGTAGCATTACAGATTATTTGAAGAACTAGTTGGTAAACAAGATATTTATCAGATCAATAGTAACTTTTCAAATTCTCAGCAGAACTGGGAGGACAGTTTGTTCATTCCAATGCCGTTTTGGCAACTCCTCTCTTATGAAAGAAAGACTGCAAGAACTAAAACTATTTCAGAGATGGTGGACAACCTTGGTTGAAATGAGTTGTGATTAGTTTTATGTGTTACCTGCATTTACCCAATGAGCTGCTTGTATAGTATTTAAGAAAGTGCACCCACTTTTTTCCAGCAAGCACTCTTTGATACCTAATTAACAGGACCACTGTCCACTACTAATAACCCCGTTCGCCTTCCTACCCAGCTCTGCCTCCATTTAGGGGAATTAGAATTGAAATTAGAATTACAGCTCGCAGGAGGGCGCCAAACAAGTCAGCACAGCCTAAACTGGTATTTTCTCAGGTGGCTGCTGTTTGGAGGCAGTGAGCACTCCATCCTTATCCCAAGGGCATTCAGCTTGCAAGGTAAGAGTCCAGCTCCAAGACTTTGATCCCATTTCCCTGGAAAACCTCTCGCGGGACCAAGGGACTCAAGCCTTTGCGCCTTGCCACCCAGGCAGGCTGGCGAGGGAGGTGTGGCACGCAGGCGCCAGGCGCTGACCCGGCCCCAGGAGTCCCCTGACCGCCAACTCAGTCGCTGCCTCGCTGCCTAGGGCCGGGACCACAAAGGCTGCACAGGGGGGACCAGCCTCTGTGCCCGGGGGCAGGGGGTTCAGGTGGGGCCTTGAGTGGGCTCAGAATGGACAGTGGAAACAGGCTACAGGCGACTGGTGCCAAGCGCGCCGCGCCTCTCCTCCTCATCAGGCCTGCGCAGCCACCCGCCCTCAAGATAGCAGCAGTTCGCTGCGTGCTCGAGCCGGACGACTCGAAAGGCACTCAGCGTGTCAGGGATGTGGCCACTCATGGACCTCGCAGCCCAACACTTCAGAACAAATTCCCTGGATACAGGGGTGACCTTCGGGGCGGCCGCATTACCAGTACCCTGTGATAACTGTAAAAGGGGTGGTACATTCGGTTACTCCTAGAATCTGTTAGAGGTCGCGGCAAGGCGACCTCTCCGGGTGACGAATACAGCGCCCGTGCAGAACCCTTAGATAACTCGAATTCGGGCCCAGACTTCCCCATTATTAACTGCTCCCGTCTCCTCAACAGAGTCCGTATTTTACATCTTTTGGAAAGGGACCCAAGTTCCACCCACCGTGTATTTCTCCTAAAAAGGTGGTGGCACTTCAAATAAACTTCTAGAAGTTCACGTCTCCCAAAGAATAGCCTTAATTTACAGGAAGAAAACTTCGAGCCACTGACCTTTCCCTTCCAGTAAGTTTCCCAGAGAAGCTGCGTTGGCAGGCGTTTGGAAGCCTTGATCATTGGCGGTTTCGAGGCCGTGGTCGCCAGCAGTTTCAGCAACGGGTCCATATGAGTTTGGGGATCTTGTAAGCTCGTTACTTCTGATGTTGAAACTGTTGGTGTTGAATCATTTTCTGACAGAACTGGTGGTGTCTGTTCCTCAGGACCATCATCTACCGTTGATATCACAAAATGGCTTCCAGTTTAGTCATGTGACTTTGGAAGGTACAGAACTTTCAGAGAACTATCAATTGCACGCTCCTTAAAGACACAAGGATAATATTAGAGATAACTATGGGTGCCTGTTGGCTATAATAGCTTTGAAATCTCTACTGCTGAACAATTATCTAACCTTAATCATAAGGAATAAATATTTTTGGAACACTAATTATTGTACAATTTCTGTTGGACAGGTGATATTTTTTATTCAGTGAACCTAAATTACCAGAGCTTCAGATGTAGATAAAATCATTTTGGCTCCCTTAAGAATCCATCCACTGATCGCTGGCGTTATGTTCTTAGGCTACCTCGGCAGGTTGTAACTTATTTTGTATTTACTATAGAATATTCTTAATGGCATTCTTAACCAAAAAATAATTCTTTAATAATGACTCAAAGGAAAAATTTCATTCTCAGTAACCTGAAATGGCTGATGGTATATGTTCTGAATGTGAAATATATGAATTATATAATTAACTTTCCTTGTTGTGATGGCCACTAAGACTCTCAGAACCAATTTTGCAACTCACCCTTGACAACTGTGAACCTTACTGGTACATGCTGATCTTTCTCTTATCTCAAATAACCACATTCTCTCCCAATTTCCTAATTATTTTATCTTGTGCAGTTACATTGAAAGCTGTTTCAAAAACTTTTTAAAAGAGAATCAGATATAAACATTAGATAAATAAAAATAGTGTTCTGACAGAAGTGTCACAGGTAGCATCCCAATGGGTAGAGGAGGGGGAGTGTAGTAACTGCTCACTTAGAAATTTAATCATCCAACAAACGTTAATTCAGAATCTAATGCACCAGATTTGGCACATTAATTGTTTATTAAGTGTTTAAAATATGGTAAGAGTTATATGGAAGGAGGGAAAAACTATCCTTAAGATATAGGCATACACATATGTAATTTTTCCTTGATTGTTAGATTGCTAGCCCCTTTTTAAGGAAGAAAAGAATGAAAAGTGCAAGAAAGGAAAGGGCATGAATTACAGTTTCTGTTGATAGGGGAGAGCTTATCCAAGAAGTAGAATTGATATACAGATGAAAACCTGTTATATACATACTTTATATTGTCAAATATGTACACAATGTATTTCTGGGTTCTGTTCTGTCATATTGCTCTCTCTCCAACAAGTTCTTCTGGACCCTATCCCCTCCAAAGTCCTCCTTCCCCTTCTCTAGCTATGGCTTCAATCAATTTCATCATTACAGCAAATATGCAGCTCCATGCATTCCTTCAACAGAAATTGATTTATGTGTCAGGAATGTTTTAAGGTTAATAATAGCTAACATTCATTGAGTGCTTATTAGGTGCTAAGCTCTTGGCTAAGAGCTTTGCATGCATTACCTCGTTTAACCCTCAGTTGCTGTATGAGTTTGGTGTGACTAGATCTTTTTTTTCTTCAGATGAGTAAATGGCAGAGTCAATACTTAATTTAAACCCAGGTCCATTTAACTCTGTGTCCATGTTTACATTCTCAGACCTCCCCTACACAATAAGATGTGCAGCTATTCCCCATTTTCTACCCCCACCCCCAGCCCCTGGTAACCTATCCACTTTCTGTCTTTATGAATTTGCCTATTCTAGGCACCTCATGTAAGTGGAATCATACAATGTCCTTTTGTATCTGGGTTCTTTCACTTACTCATAAAATGAGTTAGGAAGTGTTCTCATATATTTTGGAAGATTTTGAGAAATACACGAGTTAATATTGTTTGGTAGAATAATCACTGAGGCCATCTGGTTCAGAGCTTTTCTTTGTTTTTGTTTGCAGACTTTTGAAACAGATTTAATCTCCTTATTAGTAATAGATTTGTTGAGATTTTCTATTTCTTCATGATTCAGTTTTGGTAGTTGTGTGTTTCTAGGAATTTTTCCATTTCATCTAGGTTGTCTAACTTACTTATGTACAATAGTTAACAGTATTCTCTTATAACCCTTTTTAGTTCTGTAAAATCAATAGTAATGTCCCTGCAATTTTTTTCTGGTCTTATTAATTTAAGTCTTTCTGTTTGTCTTAGTTGGTTTAGCTAAAGATTTCTCAGTTTTGTTGATATTTTCAAAGAACCTGCTTTTGGTTTCATTGCTTTTCTCTATTGTTTTTCTTTTTATTTATTCATTTGTTTGTTTGTTTTATTTTGGTATCATTAACATAAACTCACATGGACAACATTGTGCTTACTAGATTCCCCCTATTATCAAGTCCCCACCACATACCCCATTACAGCTACTGTCCATCAGCATTGTAAGATGCTAGAGTCACTACTTGTCTTTTCTGTGCTATATTGCCATCCCTGTGCCCCCCTACATTATGTGTGCTAACCATAATGCCCCTCAATTCCCTTATCCCTCCCTTCCCACCCACCCTCCCCAGTCCCCTCCCTTTCTTAACTGTTAGTCCATTCTTGGGTTCTGTGAGTCTGCTGCTGTTTTGTTCCTTCAGTTTTTTCTTTGTTCTTATACTCCACATATGAGTGAAATCATTTGGTACCTGTCTTTTTCTGCCTCATTTATTTCACTGAGCATAATACCCTCTAGCTCCATCCATGTTGTTGCGAATGGTAGGATTTGTTTCTTTCTATGGCTGAATAATATTCCTTTGTGTATATATACCACATCTTCTTTATCCATTCATCTACTGATGGACACTTAGGTTGCTTCCAATTCTTGGATATTGTGAATAGTGCTGCAATAAACATAGGGGTGCATTTGTCTTTTTCAAACTGGGCTGCTGCATTCTTAGGGTAAATTCCTAGGAGTGGAATTCCTGAATCAAATGGTATTTCTATTTTTAGTTTTTGAGGAACCTCCATATTGCTTTCCACAAAGGTTGAACTAGTTTACATTCTCACCGGCAATGTAAGAGGGTTCCCCTTTCTCCACAACCTCGCCAGCATTTGTTGTTCCTAGTCTTTTCTATGTTGGCCATCCTTACTGGTGTGAGGTGATATCTCATTGTGATTTTAATTTACATTTCCCTGATAATTAACAATGTGGAGCATCTTTTCATGTGCCTGTTGGCCATCTGAATTTCTTCTTTGGAGAACTGTCTGTTCAGATCCTCCGCCCATTTTAATTGGGTTATTTGCTTTTTGGGTGTTGAGCCTTGTGAGTTCTTTATATATTTTGGATGTTAACCCCTTTTAGGATATGTCATTTACAAATACATTCTCCCATACTGTAGGATGCCTTTATGTTCTGCTGATGGTGTCCTTTGCTGTACGGAAGCTTTTTAGCAAAATGTAGTCCCATTTGTTCATTTTTTATTTTGTTTCCCTTGCCTGAGGAGATGCGTTCAGGAAAAAGTTGCTCATGTTCATATTCAAGAGATTTTTGCCTATGTTTTCTTCTAGACTTCTATGGTTTCATGACTTACATTCAGGTGTTTGAACCATTTCAAGTTTACTTTTGTGTAGGGGGTTAGACAATAATCCAGTTTCATTCTCTTGCATGTAGCTGTCCTGTTTTGTCAACACCAGTTGTTGAAGAGGCTGTCATTTCCCCACTGTATGTCCACAGCTCCTTTATCGTATATATTAATTGACCATATATGCTTGGGTTTATATCTGGGCTCTCTAGTCTGTTCCATTGGTCTGTGGATCTGTTCTTGTGCCCATACCAAACTGTCTTGATTACTGTGGCTTTGTAGTAGAGCTTGAAGTTGGGGAACATAACACACACACCCCCGCTTTATTCTTCCTTCTCAGGATTTCTTTGGCTATTTGGGGTCTTTTGGGGTTCCATATGAATTTTAGAACTATTTGCTCTAGTTTGTTGAAAAATGCTATTGGTATTTGTTAGAGATTGCATTGAATCTGTAGATTGCTTTAGGCAGGATGGACATTTTGACAATATTAATTCTTCTTATTCATGAGCACAGGATGTGTTTCCATTTATTGGTATCATCTTTAATTTCTCTCATGAGTGTCTTGTAGTTTTCAGAGTATAGGTCTTTCACTTCCTTGGTTAGGCTTATTCCTAGGTATTTTATTCTTTTTGATGCAATTGTGAATGGAATTGTTTCCCTGATTTCTCTTTCTGCTAGTTCATCATTCATGTATAGGTACGCAACAAATTTCTGTGTATTAATTTTGTATCCTGAAACTTGGCTGAATTCAGATATTAGATCTAGTAGTTTTGGAGTGGATTCTTTAGGGTTTTTTTATACACAATATCATGTCATCTGCAAACAGTGACAGTTTGGCTTCTTCCTTACCAATCTGAATGCCTTTTATTTATTTGTTTTGTTTAATTACCATGGCTAGGACCTCCAGAACTTGAATAAAAGTAGGGAGAGTGGGCATCCTTGTCTTGTTCTTGATCTTAAAGGAAAAGCTTTCAGCTTCTTGCTGTTAAGTATAATGTTGGCTGTGGGTTTGTCATATATGGCCTTTATTATGTTGAGGTACTTGTCCTCTATACCCTCTAATGTTTTTCTATTCTCTATTTATCTCTGCTCTAATCTTTATTTCCCTCCTTCTGGTAGCTTTAGGTATAGTTTTTTCTTATTTTTCTAGTTCCTTAAGATATAAAGTTCTTGACTTGAGATGTTTATTATTTTTAAATATAAGCATTTACAACTACACATGTCCCTTTTAGCACTGCTTCTGCTACGTCCCATAAGTTTTATTATTTTGTGTTTTCACTTTCATTTGTTTCAAGTTATATCCTACTTTCCCTTGTGATTTCTTCCTTGGCCCAATGGTTATTTATTCTGCTGATCTCTCTGCCTTTTGATCAGAGTACTTAATCTATTTATAGTTAAAGTATTACTAAACTATTTTTATAAAGTCTCTATTCTGTAACATGGCCAATGAAGTTCATACTCCATTAGCTTAGTGGTCAACTAGTATTTTGACGGAATTTTCTTAAATGCCTTGAGCCAAGAAAAGAAAAGCAGAAAGGAAAAAAGAGAAAGAAAAAAGTACTCTCCTAATTTTTGCCCAGTGGCTTTGTGTTTGGGGATTCCTTCAATGCTTAGCCAGTCCATCTACAACTCTGTCTTAGCTTTCAGTTTCTGCTTGTATGAATC